GCAAGATTTATGTCATTGGAACAAATTTACAGAACACGGTTCCCAGAACAATATTAAGAAGGGGGCGCGGGGTTTAGCTTACATGGCTACTCCAAAAGCGGTGCAAGATTTCCTCCATCCACAGTATGAAGAAGAAGGTAATATGACAAAGGAATCATCATCCAGGTTTGCAACTTATCCATGGCAAGTGTTTCCCCCAGAAAGCTCGAAGAAACCCACTCATAAATCTTTTGGATCTCCGATGATGCAGGACGGCTTTACCGACCATGCTATCACTGAGCTTTGGGGAGATACATGCCCTAATGCCCACCGAACCTTAAACTTCTATTCTCAGCCCAAAGCCAGCATGCCGTCAGAGCTCCTTGAAGAAGACCACTTGAAACCATGAAAAGTGGCTCTGATCTATGGGGCCTGTCAAAATCAGGATGGGGCTTGGGGCCTCAGGTGCAGGATGTGGTACTGTCCTCAGGGCTTAAACTCGCAGTTCAGACTACTCCTTGGAATGAGACGTGAAGCCAACGCGGGCAACTGAATCCTAAGATGAAGGTTCTCAGGCATGACTCACTCTGCTACCCCCAGAAATGCCACGAGACCTGCGCACGTTTCTTAAATCCTGCGCCCGAAGCCCGAGATCCAGAGGCAACGGGGAGGAGGCGGAGGGTAAGTACTAGCGCACGTTGCAAGAAGTAAGCCCCAAAACTAATGCGGAAAACGGAAGGAAGAATAGCAAACCTCGAGCCATACCCCTAGCGCTCCTGCTCACTGCGATCAGAGCCGCTGCTCCCACTTGTTGAGCGCCTGGTCACTGCTCACATCGAGGCCAGAATCGTTTTAAAAAGGGTTAGGGCCAGGCGGGATGGGCATGCGTGTCTTCTGCGGAAACATAGGCTCGAAGGATTGAAAGAAGCTTTGCAGGAGGGGCAGGTGGACAAGGATCTCTAGGGAGCATAGACTAAGAGCATTCAAGGCTCCTATATGGGCTTAGAACAAGATGCCAGAAGAGTCTATAATCCAGTTCTTTGAACGTGGTCACAATTCCCAAGAACTTTCGATGCTCTTCACATCATCTGGTAGGCTTTGCGACTACATGAGCAGAACTGCATGTTCTTGGGAATGAGGGAATGAATGGAAAAGAAAACAGAAAAACCTAATCACCACACTGTTGGAGACTATTTCGGGGATACTTCCGGGATCCATTCAAATTCGCACAATGATGCCTTTCTTCCTAAGCCCTAAACCACCAAAGGACACCAGTCTTTTCCTTGCCACTATCCTCTGGCCTCTGCTTTGGCGTTTGGGGGAGCAATACTCTGCCCAGGCGGGTAGCTCTGGCGGGACTGACCAGAAAGCTTGGGGTTTTTGTGAGGGCTTGGTGAAACTATTGGTTTTTGAGCGGCCCCCACCTAGCCCGCCCCGTCCCCTTGGCCTTTCTTTACTGAACTCTCACAGCTGCCCTGTGACGACTTGCTCTGCTTCTGCATGCTGTCTGTCCTCCTCTGCCGCCGACCGCTGCTCGAGCCGGTCGAGGCGGAGCGCGGTAGCGTTAATATTGTGTTGTCGCTGCTATTCAGACCTGTTAGAATCCATCCGTGGACACTTGAGATCTTCATCCCGGAGACCAAAATTCTATGCCGCCACAATACACTGAACAATGTGCGGAAATAGAGCAGGCCTAATCACGCAAATGCCTTCGCAGCACAGACACAACCCCTAGAAGCCTTGGATGCGAGTCGGTGCGGGAGTTCTCCGGCTCCTTCAGGGTTAAAGGTTTAGGGTTCATGATTGGCTCTCGCCAGCATTCAAAGCACAAAAAATGAAGAGAACAATGAATCTTAGAGCGTAGTTGCGTGGTCGGAGGGTTGGGAACAACGCACAGAGACTCGGACTGTAAGGAATGGGCTGTGGCAATGGGATTTACGTGAGCTATGATTGAAAGGCTATTCCCCAAAGTCAAAGCCCCGCCATACGCAATACGGAAGTTGGAGACCAGTTAAGTTCAACATCATAAACGCCAGTCGGTGGACAAACTCATGCTCAAAGGTCAAGGGAAATCTCAAAGCTTGAACTCACCTAAGCATCCCGACAGAAATCCACATTGTAGTACTCATACTTTTGCACAGAAAAACTGCAGGAATTCTGGGCGACAGGGAGGCAAGAAGACCTTCTTACAAACGGTTCATTCCCTGACTCCAGGATTGTTTCAAGTGGGTCCGGCATGGCCCGATGAACTTCAGTGTTTGGTTCTGCAAGTTTGCAAGGGAAGGGAGCTGCGGTATTTGGCATAGGTCATAGGTTATAAGAATGAACTCGGCCTCAGCGCAAGCAAGGGGAGCTCTTGGCACCCACCCAGGATTGGCAAACGGGGACGATGAGGATCATTTGGGGCAGGATACTTCTGTTCCTCTCACCACCAGCAAACTATGTTCCTGGAACTGGTTATAATGGAGCCGAAATGCTACACTCCGGAGAGGTGGCAGTAAACCTAAACACCAGAACCCGGAACCGCTTCACACCGAAAGATTTCCCTGTGCAGACCGGCGTACGCCCTCAAGCCTCACACTAAATAGGAATCAGAATGACCTGCGGCCAAGACCAATCCGTGCATGAGTTGTTCTTCAGAAGCTATGCACTACCACTTTCACTGGTACAACCATGATGAGTACTCGTACCGTCGGTGCTATGCAGCACACTCGGAAATTAAAAGAGCATCGACCCGTCAAGCATGCATGTTCCTGCCTCCTCAGATAGACCTGCGCCGGTCACCTGCACCATGCAGCCCATTTTGTGGGACAGTAGTCTTGACAGAGCCGGGCCTCCGTGCTGACAGCGGGGGTACCTATAGGTGTATAGGGGGTAGGCAGGAGTCCTGGCTATAAACCCGAGGAGAGTAAAACCACATCTACGAGACATCTTCTCCAAACAAACATGGAACCTGCCTAGAGGCCCTTTACTGATAACTCATGGAACCTGACTAGCTAACTATCCCATTCTGGAGGAGCCCCCTAATTAATATGACACATGTGGCTCCCAAAGTTGAGCGGGGAATAAACGGGTACCATTCTATGGGATTCTATGGGTACATATGAGGATTTGATAGAGTCATTCTAGGGGGTCGCAAGAATCTACACCGAACCAAGAAATGTGCACCAAAAGCCCCCCAAGCATGCCCCAAAATCCTCAACACCCGCACCAAATCCCAGGCCACGGCACCAGAAACCCCAAACCCTATTTGGTGTTGGCACCGTTGTCGGTTTTCTTGCGGGCTTCAGGGATTTTGGTACACATTCAGACCCTTTGTGCTGGTTGAGGGATCCCCTCCTCTAGGCTCCACTGAGTTAAGGGTTTTGGGAAACCAGCCTAAACTTTAAAAACTAAATGCATCTCGCGAGAAGCCACAAGGAGATTTGGCTTCAACACAGAGACCGGGTTGAGAGGCATTGAGAGGTTTTGCAAATCAGAACGGGCTATTATCACCGCTCCTTGTCAACTATGTGGCTGTTTCCAAAGAACCTAAAGCTCACGTCATAGCTTGCCCTGTGCTGTTTCAATCAATATTCCTGCGTCTGCTTCTTGGTGATGACGGAGTCAGCGGAGGCCAGCTTCTTTCAACATCTTCTGCCCATGGGCAGTCAGCAGATGCAGGATGCGATCAACAAGCGTGCAAGAACGGAGGCAGCAGCTTACAGGGGCAAGGGGACAAGGCAGGGCAGGGAACGCTCAGCAAATATCCGACAACCAGTTCCAAAGGACATCCAGCAACTGTTGGAAGCGACGGCCAAACTGACGCTGCGGCTGGCAGATGCGCGTCAAGTCATCCTTCAGGACTGCGGCTTCACTTGGTTTGTGGGGGCGGAATAAGGGGGCATACTGCCGGTCATGTTTGGAGCAACCCGGACCCGCCTTGAGCCGGGAGGTCTTTTGTAGGCTCGGCCCTTCCCACAGCTTTGCAAGGAGGCAGGGGTCCTCCCGAGCAAGGCGAGGGTCTGGGCTTTGAGGAATTTGGCTTTAGTGCTTGGAGTTTGGGGACTGGGGTCTTGAGAGCTAAGGAACGGACTGCACAGGCAGCACAAGGAGATCTTCTTCCGTTCGCGGTGAATGGCTAAGGGTCACGGACAACTTCTCTTTCAGGGCTTTGGGTTTTTGGCTAAGAGTTCTGGGCGAGTCTTGGCTGCAGATCAAACCATTAGAGCCTAGAGTTTTTGCAGTGTGGACGCGGCCGTGAGATTCGAATGACTTGTCCCAGGTCCTGCCGTCGGGGCTTGACTTCGTCACATCAAGCCTGAAGTGCTACGACTGCCTAGGCTCCGTCAAATTCGATTCTGGGGCATTTGAAGGCTCAGTTGCAAAATCCATGCTCCATAACAGGCGAGCTCCCACAGGCCTAAGGGAATGCAGGACACGGAACCACCCAAATGTGCTCACTTTGATGTGGTTTAGCTAGAATGCTTGGGGAACAGAACGCCCAAATCCCTCAAACCTAAGCCCGCTGTCTCCGAAAGTGTGCATGTCAGCTGAGAGTGTAACCCGATTCTTTGCTTCACGTGCAAGTCAAAAATTTCCTATCAAGGGTCCAAGATAGCTCATGAGGTGTATATAGTATCCAGAGCAGAAGGGCATACTGGGAAGTGATGGTACTGTCAACCCAAACCCTCAGCTCCTTCAGCAGGTGCGGCAGCTCATTAAAGCGCTGCGTAAACTCATTTACGGCCCACTCCTCAGCGTTGAGGGCTTTTGGCGCG